AGATAAAGCACTAACTTGCACATCATTAGAAGATTTAGATTTTTCATATCCTTTTTCGAAATATTCCAGAAGTTAGTTAATTTCACCAATGATATGTTTAAAAAACTTTTTAACAGGCATTATATGCATTATATGCTTATTTAGATCTTGTCGCTATGTAATTTTTAAATAAATTTTGAATTATTATGAATAAAATACAAACCAATTTCAATATTATCTTTAAACGGCTGAACATTGCAATTTTCAACCTGATACTTATAAGCTAACGGAAATATTTGCTGAAGTGGCATAGGTAGGTTCGATATATTCAATGTTTATTTAGGTTTCAATTTGATGGTTTCTTGTAATTAACGAATAATAACTGCTCACAATATTAAAACCGTGTCTGTAACATGTTTGGTCTTTTTTTTTTTTTTTGCAGGAAGAAAAAACAAACGAAAAATATTATGCTAAGTTAACACTAATGTCAATATCGATTAACTTTTTATGTAAGTATGATAATGTTTAACATTATGAAATACGTAATTTTGGTTTCTAGTTCCGAATGTTCTTATCATTCCGACCTATCTTTCCAGACGATCATCCGATCTCAACCTGGTACACTGTTACGACCAGGGGAGAGACTTTATATCCGTACTCACAATTTAGCTCAGGGTCATAAGCATTAAAATGTAACAAACCAAGTATTTATTATTCCACACAAGGCACCAAAATGTACTAATAATACAAGCGATATAAGTAAGTATCTTTCTACCAAGTGTACCCGGTACACTATAGTCCTCTAAAATATCCCTTGTCCCAACTAAAAATCCAACCCAAAACTAAAGAACTCTAGAACTAAAGAAGTACTATCTAAGCTGCTATCCCTATTTATATTGTCTATTAAACTCTAATTAGAAATTATGTAAAATGTAAAGTACAAGCTAATTCTATAAACTATGATCGACAAAGTATAATGTTGTTAATTACTTCGATCAATACTTAATTACAGGATAAGCTCTTATGATGTTACACAAAGAAAGTATAATTATTAACCATGTTACACTATTTTGCGTAACAACACATTTTCTGGGTGCAACTTCATAGATCGAAGTTCGTCTGATTGGCTAATAAATTCAATTTAATTTTACATTATTTATACAGTTTAGAGTACTTTTTAAAAAAACGAAAACCAACCATAATCATATGGGCCGATTTTTTTGTCATACTTTTCAAAACGATCTAACTCTAGTCAAATCTGTAGATCATTTGGCCTTGGTTTATCAGTTTTAAAACTGATAAACCAAGGCCAAATGATCTGCAGAATTGACCAGAATTAGATCGTTTTGAAAAGTATGACAAAAAAATCGGCCCATATATAAAGTAAAAAAAAACTATATAGAATGTTTAAATAGAGCTGTAGGACTCCATAGTCGAAAATAAGATCTAATTCTCGGCAATTTAAAAAAATTAGCTTAGAAGTAAGTTGATTTTATCGGGTTTTGAGAAGTTGTTACTACACTAACTTGTTTAAACGAACGAGAATTGGATCTTATTTTTGGAAATGGAGTCCTGCAGCTATAATGAAACCTCCTATACAGTTTTTTTTTAAAAAAGTATTCTAAACTGTATAAATAATGTAAAATTAAATTGAATTTGTTAGCCAATAAGACAAACTTATGCCTATGATAACTGCCCTGGTTATGTTCAGGTACAGACAAGGAATGATATCACATGATTATCAACAAATCAAATCACATAAGTTATAAATCAAGCATTTACATTGATTAAATCCCACATAAATTTATAAATTAAACATTTGTATTTATTCAATCACGCATAAGTTTATAAATCAAAAATTTGTCATATCATATAATAATTTTTTCTTGATACAAAAAATAGAAGTGCCATTCTATATGATGTATAACATAAACATTGCCCAAGACATGCTCAAGTATGATACCGTTATCATATCCCATCTTCAACTTATGAGAAATATCATAAATGCTGAGTTATCATGAATCTTCACTGATCAGAAGAGATAAGATTAACAATCTTAATGTGAGAGTGAAGCCAGTGCCTGTTTATTATTTCTGCATTTTAGACAAAATTATGAATGATCATATCAATTTTATATTTTCTTTGGATATATCAATATCTATTAATAATGGTAATAAATTATCTAATATAATTAGTTAGCTTTCATCATGCCAATACGATTCTCAAGTAGTTTTTCTCTTCTCATCTATTTAAATGCATTTATAATCTATGTTCCTGATTAATTTTTTATATTCTACATTTATTTGTTCTTTAAAAATCCAGGATTTAACGAGTCTTTTGATTAGACTAATATAAATTTAATTCATGGTTCCCTGAATATTCTCTGGTTAAATAGGACAAATATAGTGTTAGATTTAAAAAAGTATTTAATTAACAATGTATATTTAAATTGTTTTCTTTGCAAGTTTTCCATATTAAAAATCAAACTAACACCAAATATTTGTTATTCTTTGTATTTAATATGCTTCATATCGATATATATTTATACGCTAAACTTTTAATTTGATCTGCGTGTATCCAGCAAATATTTTTTGAACATCCTTTTTAGAAGCAACTAAATAGGCCAATTGTATAAATAAAATAGTGTAATGATATTGCAATGTATCTGTTATTAATCGCTTTTTAAATATATTTATAGAGTCACATTAATTGCTGATTAATCTATGCATCAAAAGACATAACAATAGAGATGGAACTAAAGTCCGTGTTTTGGCAGTGTTTACTATAGTAGTGTTTTGAATCGGTTAGACCTTAATCGGGTAACCGATCTGAACCGAAGAATTTCGGGTTAACCGGTTGAGTAAAATATGCTTAATCGGTTAACCCGGCATAATCGGTTGACCTGTAATAATCGGTTGACCCGTAATAATTGGTTGACCTAGCACAATCGATTAATCCAGTATAATCTGTTAACTCGGCATAATCGGTAAACCTGGTATAATTAGCCACCTAGAATCGCTACCAGAATCATAACATACGTATGTATGTACGTACGTTGTAATGGGTAATGTGATTACATAAAAATATGACACAAAGCTATATGAATCGGGACTTTTAATACAGTGATCAGCATGTGAGGATAGCATTTAATAAATGGCACTTTGGGTTTGGCTCTAGGCGAAGCTTCTATAAGGAACAATAATCTCTAATTGTATAAAAACCATATTAATTATTGTCGCGGCTGATGATGAAATCGGGTGATGCTAAAATTTGAACCTATTTTAATATGAAAATTTTAAGTATTTTTGCTTCGTTTTTTTGTATGGTTGAGTTAGTGTTTAGGATTTGATTTGATAATTAAAGAGGATATGTGGATTTTAGCAGTGCTTATATTTTTAAATTATGACACCAAATTTCAGCATCCCAGAGATTCTAGTGGTAGTAGGATCTCTGGTTTTCGGATCAAATCTTTCACGCCTTTTTAAGAAGCTTTTACTGCGTTCTATGTTTTAATTGACGCTAGGTGGGTCCATTGACTTAGCTAATTCGGTTGAAACTCAGTTTACCCGAATAACTTAGTTTACCCGGTTGACCTAGTTAACTCGGTTGACCCGAATAATCCGGTTGACCCGAATCAACCGAACTAACCGAAAAACTTTCGGTTGAGCCGGTTGTACCCGGTTAAGTCCGGGTCGGTTAACCGATTGACAATTTGTAACTCGGTTCAAATCACTATACTATAGTTACAGGTAGCGACAAAATTTTAAAAGGGCTGTTAAATATGATAAGTTTTAAAAATGAGAAATACTTGAAAATAGTGCAAACAACATAATCAGATACATTACACGTATAATAGTTATCAATAAGAAAATAATCAGATACATTATAATATAGTTATCAATAAGAGAATAATCAGATACATTATAACATAGTTATCAGTAAGAACATACGATTGGATTCGAAGACGAAGTTCAAAATATGTACAGTTTATTTAAAACTCTTTGGTTAAACAACTAACAATTTTACGACGGGTATACACAATTGATACAGGGCATTAAAATTTCATCAAATTACTCAGAAATAGGTCTCTTCTAGTTATGGTGGTTATGGCAAAGCTGTATAATCGTTATTGTGCCATCAATAAGATACGGTGCCGTAACCAATGATATTAGATTAAAGTTTGTAATTTATTAGAATTGACCTTAAATAATTCTAACTAGCGACACATGCTACGTAATTAAATTTAATTATGTATCATATGTCGTTGATTAGACGTGTTCAGGAGCACCCGCTAAATTATCAAACCCGAAATTTGGTTTTCGTTACAACATATAAATTACGTTACAATTATATTATTAACTATAACTATAACGAAGATACTATTTGTCGTGTAATTAAGCTTTAATATGGTACGTCGAATTTCTTCTGCTCCTACATTCACGATATAGTATTTCTAAGTATAACTCAGATGTAATGAAAATTATATTGATTTACCTAGTAATAAAAGTTTTAGTGTCCTTACAATGACATAATTGATGACCAGATTTGAAAAAATTATAGACACTGTAGTTAGTGTCTATACAAAACAAGATCGAATTGGCGATTACAAATTTTACTATAAACTAAAACTTGCACAAGTGACAATTTCGTCAAAGTTTTGTGTAAACGTTGATAATATAAAAAGAAATTATTCCATAAGCCACATGTGTTGGCATTTTAATAAGCAAAGATATCAAGTTTATATTAAAACAAATTTTAAACAGTACTATGTGAAAATCTTATAGATTTCAATAGTTTATTCGAAGCATATCGAATTGAATATTGAAGATTGCATCTAAAGCTTAAAAGTTATGTTTCCTCTAAATTAATAAAAAATCACATTAGACAGCTAAACTGAGTGGTTACAGAAAATTGTGATAGCTATTTAGCTAAGCCGATGTAAACATTGCATGCTAAATATATTCTAAGCCATACTTTATTAAAGTGTAAATTGCGTACGAAATAAGATATTCATTTTGATGATGAATGACGAAGGTGAATCTTCACAGGTGCCGAAGTTTGAAAATAAAGAGCAAAAAATTGAAATTGAACCTGAACCCCCAAGACCAACTAAACCATCCAAACCAACTAAACTACCTGATGACCAAAAAATAGTAAGTTTTTTGCTATCACCAGATAGCAAGTACGCAGTGACACATAGTAGAAAAGATTCTGAAGAATTAATTTGTGGATGGCAACTTGACCAAGATCAACCCGTAAAACAAACAGAAAATGAATCATATCAACCTATTTCCTTCAAGCTTGATTGTTTGATAAATATTAAAGAGTTTAACGTGAAGTACCAGCAAAAATGTTTAATTGCAGTTTTAAATAATAAACTTGTTGCAATAGAGGACGGCTGGGACTCCAGAATAACTGGTTCGTGAACATTTAATAAAATAATTGATAATATTCGCAATACTTAAAATTAATCCCAAAAACATCTATACCTTTAAAGTCTTTAACCTTGCCGTCAAGAAGAAAGTAAACCCAAAATTATATTTATATTCAAATGATATACCAGTTATTAGAGCTGAATGTTATAATAATGAAGATTTCGTAATGCAACCAATAATCAAGAATTATTGGCAA